ACATTAATATCTGCAAACAGGTGTCTAAATTACATTTATCTCAGTCCGAATTTTTTGCATCCATCATCGTAGCCTGCATCTGAGATTATGTTCACTTTATTCGAAAATCAAGAGCTTTTTTAAACTTGGAATTACAATTTACACGAAATAAAATTATTTTGAATTCCTTTTTTGTTTTGCCTTTATTATAAACTTCCGTCATCTATCCTTCCACTACCAAGAACACAGTAAAAATACGAAAAAAATATGAAAAAAATGGCCCGGCAGTTTCCGGCAGTTTTTGGTCAGACCAGCTTAACCGTGGGTTTGTGGGCATTTCTCCAAGAATAACTTGGAATGTTGGACAAAAAAGTTATTCAAAGTTTTTAAAAAGTTGAACAAAAAGTTGCTAGCCCTCACGTTGATGTCATTAAAAAAACACTGCGACGGTCGGTCAGCCTAAAATGTTTGTAATTGATCAGTATGAAATGGGTTATGAAGGAGTAGAATTCTTAGAAATTGAAGTACAAGTTATTACTAAGAGTTGAACTCTGTGAACTTTTGTTTCATCAATTTTCTTTCGAATTTGATTGTTGGCCGGTCCCCGCTAGACAATTGAAAAATATGTACTATCACATGGCTCTGAATCTGTCTGAATCCATTTATCACAGACCACCTGTCCGCCGTCCAAAAACTGCGGATAAGCATCGTGGAAGCCATCTGGATAATTGTAATTTCCCAGAAAGAGAACCACCATGTCTTCACCCGGCCCAGTGGATGGTTGATCTTTGGGGTATTTTCTGCTAGAGTTTGCCTAAATTCTATGCCTAAAATAACATTGAGGGGAGGAAAACTAGTGAAAAGATGCTTGTCGATAATAAACCGAAGTCGAAATACAAATGCTTCTGCCTGTTATCAATAGAATTTTAAGCCAAAATTAATGATTGGTGCTTCTCCGATTCTGTTCTTATAGTTCAAAAAAGATTCTAAAATGACTGAAAAGCGAATAAATTGAATGTAAGGAAAAGAAGTCCATAGAATAACTTTAAAAAATAGTCAACCCAAAATGGATGTCGTGAAACAGTACTGCAGAAGGAACCCGAGGTCGAACTATTTAAATAAAATAGCTCCTTTGCCCTCCAACCATCCCCACGCAAAAAAATTGAATTCACGCTGATGTGTTTTCTTTTTTCTTTTTTTTTTCCAGCTTGAATTCCGTAAGATTGACGCCCAGAACTTTGGATTTTTATGGTTTACTCAATATTCTACCAGCTCTTTTACAGGGAAAAAAAGTTTCATCGAGTCATGAAAACTTTCAGATCTTTACAGAAAACCTGGGTGCATCTTAAGAACTACATGCTAAGTTTAGTTGCTGTTCTCTATCTCATTCAAAGGTACATACATATTATCATGGCCGCAAAATTTCAGCCTTTGAACAAGGAGTTGCAATGTTAGCGGCCTTGTCTGGTAGATTTGATACTTAAAATGAAATAGCAGAAAATAAGGCACTAAGGTCTGCCCAGACGGGCGTGCAGCCGCTCTTTAGTATCTCAGCTCCATTTTGGTCAGTGAACAGACGTTGTCCGCCGACCCTCTGGAATCCCGTAAAGCAGTATTTATTTGAACATGCTGATCCAAATACGTTGTTGTCGTCGTAGTACCAGTGGAGGCCTGTACCACAAAAAAAAACATACATAGTTACTTTGCTCTTAAGTCTTAATCTACCTTCCCGCTAAGACATCCTATTCCTACCGAAGTTTTAAAAAATGTAGATTTTTAAAAACCTTTTTAAATTTTTCGCGCTCTGTATGTTTTCATCAAAAACATTTTTTTAAAAACACACTCCATCTCAAATTTAGTGTATACTGACGCCAAAAGCGCCTTAAAAATTTTATGCTTGGTCGACCGAAAGTGGATCGCGTAAAGTGCTAAAAGGGGACCATTAGAAAAAGTTTTGCAACCAGAATTGTCCCTTCAAAAATTCCGAGCAAACGCAGGGATACGGTGAAACATGTCAAAGTTTGGGTAGGGCGACAATTCGTAACAAGCGACAGTTCATAACAAGCGACAATTCGAAACAAGGCATTGGCAAGCAGAATGCGCTTGCTCCGATGCGCTTACATCCGGCACGAGAGGAATAGTGCGCATGAATTAGTGTTTGTCGCTTGTTACGAATTGTCGCCTGATACATACAAATTGTCGCTTAACGATCAACGTCAAATCAACTATGTCTGCTTGAATATTTCGCTCAAGACCTGTGAATAGGGCCTTGTTATTGTTTTGACATATAGACTTCGCGTTACTAAACCCAAGGGTAGAAACATTGGGTAAAATATCAGGAAATTTCGTTTGGCTCTCGAAAGCGAGTCCATCACATGGCTGGCCACCGAATAGAGGTGGTGTGCATTTGCGAGAACGATTTCGTGCAACCGTAAACGATGCGTTGCCGCCACAGGGCTGATCGACAACTGCTTCCCAATTTGACCAATCAGAGCAGACCGAATCCGTTACTTTTTTGCCCCATCCGCATTTTATTACATCGGAGTTCGTGTAGGCTTGAATATTTCCATTGTAGCAATCATCATTCGCTACAACTAACATAGTCAACGTTGAATGATCAGTTGTGTACAAAACGCAATATTGGAGTCCGAAAGCGATCGTCATGCAGTTTTTGTCGAATCTGCATCTTTGTACGCAGTTCATTTTTGTAATTCCATTGAATTGCCTCTCTATGAATTCTGTTGAAAGTAGAACTGCCGGGATTTCTCGGAACAGAACTAACCTTTTTATAAGAAACCGCATTGCAAAATTGCAAGAAATGATATGAGAAGCAAAACGAGTCCTATTTCTCTCCTTAAATTGGTATACTTATTTTTAGGACGTCTGATCGTAGTTCGTTTTGGAATCACAGAAAACAGCGATTTTTCATTTTTTTCTAAAAGTTTGAATCTCTAAACCTAAATATTTCAGAAAATTGTTAAAGCGAGGAATATATTATTTCGTCTGATAGAATTTCAAGTTTAAATGATATTTTGGTTTATGGGAGACAGGTAAAGTTAAAAACAACTAGACTACTGGCTTAATAGGACACAGCCCTGAATGTTCCGACTGCGCCTTAATCCATATCAAATAGATTTTTGGGAAAAGGAAATATTCAAAAACTATAAATCTTGGACGATATCAAAGATCAAATGTGAAATCTTGACTCATACGAAAGTAATACTACCGATTAGCTATCCGCAATTTAATTCGGAACGATTTGTTGTGCGGGATAATTTGCCACGCAAAAATTCTTCACTTTACGCTTTCAGGACTATGGCATAAATATTCCGTTTTCTTCGAAAGTCGGAACAATAAATGAATTTTTCATTGATGAATTTTTAAGTGTATTGATATGTGAATTTATGACAGATAGATGACGTAAACAACCAGCCTAATGAAAAATTCAATCTATTAATTACGCAGAATTACATAAATGCTATCTGAGTTGATTTAGCGGGAGCGGACAGGAGAAAAACAAACGAGTTTTTGACCACCTGTACATTACGAGGCAATGTGAATTGTAAACGAATTCCGCGAAAAGGACGCTCAACTCTTTCATTTTTATTTCATTTTTTTTATTGTTGCGACATTTAAAAATTTCCTGGTTTAAAATTTAATAGACAAATTTGGTATAAGACCAAGAAAAAACCGAAACATCTTGCAATAAAACGCATTCAACTGAATAATTCAGTTAACTGGGGCCGGAAACCAAGCCCACGGGACTTCAAGCCAAGTATCGTTTCAGAAAGTAATGGAAAAAGTGTTAGTTTGAGGACTGATTCAGAATTATTCAGTTTCATGATCTTCCTTTACCAGCTCTTGGTTTTTTCATAAGTTAAAAGTTGTTAAGAATTTTTAAAAATGAAAAATTAAAACGTAATTGCGCTTTTTTTGTTTATAATTCAATCATTTTAAAACCCGGCTGATGTAAATTACGGATGCCATTCCTAAGTGGTGCATTGTCATGAATAACGCTCATTATGGACTAAGTTTAACTAAGTTTTTGAAAAAATAATTTCTTGCAGATGTTAAATAATGTTTTGAAGTGATTACAAAAAAAAACAAAAAAAACTTCGGCTTGAAGTCCCGTCGGCTTGTTGTCCTAGACCCCACCCGTACCCAACGGAGGCTGTTTTTTTTTCTAGATAGAAATTTATATAGGTTATCTAGCCTAATTTTCTCGTATTTTCTGTGCAGAAAAGATCTATTTCTTTTCTAGTTTAGAAATTAACAGTTTCTGGAAAGAATTAACCAGAAATCAGTTCACTGCTCAACCGCAAATACAGTAGCAATACAATGCAAGCCAACACTTGTTATAACAAAGGGTTTTTTTGCTGAAACTATTAAGTGTCATCAAGGCCTCTAGCATAGTGGTTAGCACAATCGCCTAGAAAACTGAAGGACAGGTGTTTCGAGCCCCACCAGGAGAGTTTTTTCTAGCTAGAAATAGACTAGATTGAGCTAATTTCTGTTCAGAATTAAGATGAGAAAAAAAAAAGAATTTAAAGAAATTCCTTGCTCTATTTAAACATTTCAAAAAGAATTTCTGACCGGAAATTTGATTAGATATAAAGTATTTCAGGTTAGAAGCTGAAAAAAAATTCGGTACGGACAGTTAACTGTATGATAAACAAAAGAAATTGTGTTCATTTATTTTTGTGACAAATTGAGTCGTAAAAATTGAGAGATAATTTTTGCCCATGACATGAAAGAGCTTTTCCAATACTGAGTCACGATTAGTTTACAAAATTTTTCTCCGATTTTTCTTTTGAGATCCAATTTTTCTCTTGATATTAAAGAATCAAGTGATGAACTTTGGTTGAACTCAAGTACAGTTAGGAAAATAAGAAGACATGTTAGTAGCAGTCAACTTTGCTTAAATTTCTATCTTTAACCAGAAAATGAGAACTTTATCAAACTTTTAGACTTAATTGCATCATATTAATGGGCAAATATCGATTGACGCATAACAAAAAAAAATGCGTAAAACGATTTTCCAGCAGAATGTAAGCCTTGTAAAGCGCAGATATATCTTTTTTAGCAACGTTTTCAAAACATCAAAGAAAGGGTTTTTTATTCAGACCAAATCTCCCTCGGGGGCTCGAACCATGGATCTTCGATGTCTCAGATTATGTGCGCTCTCGATAAGACTATCTTAAGATTCATAGTTTAGTATTTCATTAACTAAAAACGATTGAGACCAGATTATGGGCAGTCAGAACATTCAGGGCGTTGCCCTGATACGAGCAGTCTTGTTCAAATTCAAAAGTTTTCAGATCCGGATCAATTTAACAGCCTCCCCCTAATTGTCTTCTTTAGGGGGAAATATTAACTTTCTAAGTTGTTACATGTAGGACTTCTATGTCCGTAATTTTAACCAATGGATCCTTTTACACACCGAACAAATCAAATTAAACCCAATGCAAACATTGGGCTGGAAGATTTCACCTTAGTCTATTTAAGGAGAGGGATAAGTTTTTAGTTAATTCCTCAACTGTACTAAAATCTGATGTTGTGTCGCCACTTAATAGGAGCTGTGCTATTAATTATGATTTATTATGTGATATCATCAGATTGACTACAAGATATTATTAAATTTTTGTTTTAGTAGCAATTTTGTTTTATGGGGGTCATGGATAAAAACCTTATTAAATTTTTGATATCAGTAGCAATTTTGTTTTATGGGGGTCATGGATGAAAACCTTATGAATAACTCATGAAAAAAAATGAAAAACAATATCTAAAAATTTATCGTTATAATCTGGTGGGGATTTTAATGGTGTCAAAGAGCCAATTTTATTTGGAGCACCTTTTTTACCCAATATATGCAATCAACATGACATGAACTAACGAGACTAAGACTGTTGCTGTTTGTCTTGTTTACAGAAGTGTTCTTTTGATGTGGGCTCGTGGGCACATCTGGCGTCCGAGATAGACATCATCCCAAAGGCCCCCTCACCAGCAGACCTGAGCTTCTTCCAACCCAGTGCCACATTCGAAGTCACTAACTTTTCAGGTAGCATCAGCGTTTCAGCGAACAAAATAAACAAATGTACTTGACTTTTACAACCCCCCCCCACATTTTTATACCTAATTTAAAACCTTCTTTTGAATGTTGATTTCGAGCAGAAGCAGATTTAGAGGGGGGCGCCCTCCCCCCTCAGGGATTCGATCTACTGTCGACCCAAAGGATCCCCACTTGTACTATTTTGAGATATCCATTTTTGGCTTGACAGACGCCAAAATTTTCAAAGGAGCTTTGGCGCCAATATTTACTAATTTTGAGGGGCAAGGGCACATCAAAAAACCGCGAATTTTGGGGTCAAAAATTTCCAAAAAGTGCCTAAAAACTCTTTTCGGACTGTTTTTTTCAAAATTTTGCCGGTGCTCAAAACAGGGTATTTTTAATGCTTTGGGAATATTCGGAAAATCGATTTTGGTCGACCTAAAATAAAGTTCGACAGAACTTTTGACATGTTTTTAACAATCCGCCCCCTAGAGAAAACCCTAGATCCGCCCCTGATTGCGAGAACATTTTGCCAACAAGAGCAAAAGTTTTGAAAGTCGGTTTTAAGCCCTGATTATAACCGGTTTCGTAACGAATACTGAGCCACATGATAGGCGTAGGCGTTATGAACTATCGAGGTTAAGATAATATCCTGAAATCTTGTATTGAACCAAGTTTTTGTCAATATTTTTGCTTAAATTTGTTTCGAGGGATTGATCTTTTGAAGACATTACGCAAGCTTTGAGTTAAGAGTTATCATAAGTGGAAACGAACTAAATATCGTTAATGACATGTCTTGATATTTTGTGGATGGCTTATCTCACTGATAAAAACTATAAATGCACAGACTGATTTTAGGCAAATTATCATTTATGTTAATTCCAATTAAAATTTTCGTAATAAACATTTTTGCTCCTCACCGGCTACAACAGCGGGAAAAGTTGATTTTTGTTCATGAAAGTCAAAACCAACATAAAACTAAGTTAACTAAGACGTGGATTTCCACTTCATCTGTTTCAGCTTTCTACAACCGGTACGCAGATCCGACTCTAGAGACCGACGACAACGAGTTCAGCTGTCTCGTGTTCACCCTCGAGTTCAGCCGACAGCCGACCTACTTCGTCATGAATGTGATCATGCCCTCGGTCCTCATCAACTGTCTCTGCGTGCTCAACTTCGGAGTGCCCCATGAGACGGGGGAGAAAGTGGGCTACGGCATCACTGTGTTCCTCGCCCAGAGTGTGAACTTGATGGTCGTGTCTGAAATGATGCCTCAGGGTACATACTATTTGCTCAACTTCCTCTATAACAGGGGAGCATCTAGGTTTTCTCAAGGGGAGGGGAGACCAAATTGATTTTCTGAACTCTCCCAAATAACTATAAAAACCCTATTTTGACCAATATTTTTGCGTCGCAGGCAAACTTTTCAAAAAAAAAACAGGTCGAAAAGGTATCTGAAGGCTCTTTTTAGAAATATTTGACCAAAAAAGAGCTTTTTTTTGGCGGCTCATCACCTCAAAATTAGTTCATACTGGCGCCCAGGGCGTCTTTAAGAAAATTTTAGGGTTAGTCAGCCAAAAATGAATGTTGATAAATAGTACCAAATGGGGAAATTTTGAGTTAGGACCGATGTGGTTAACTCATAGAGTAATTTCGGATAGGGTACACCGTCTGCTCGTCACGCTATCTTATTTTCGGCCGGATAGATTCGTGCAACTTCTTAGTCTAATACCGATCCTAATCTTACTCTTATACTATCTAGTCTCAGGTTGTTTAACTAGTCTCTGCTAGGCTCAATAGATCTAGGGTATACTGGTTTATTGCGGCTGCTGAAGTGCTCGGGAGAGTCCAACTAATTTCTAAGTTAAATTCAAATCTCTCTGGTGCTGAAATTACAAGTAACTTCAGCACTTACAAATAAGTGGGTTGTTAGTTAGATGGATCATGATTGGTTAATATTAAATACTTTACATTGGTAAAATATCTAATTTATCCAATCATAAAATGTAGTTTAGATCAGGTTCCAATTTTTGGGTCGGTAGGGAACCGAATCCCTGAGGGAGTCTTGCCCATTTTTCACAAACAAAAAATCAAAAAAGTAATTAAAACTGTTCCACTACAAATAATATGACTTATAGCGCTTAACTGGGCTCAAAAAATAGTGAGAAAACTTACAAATTCCCTGTCTCTGTGTATAATTTGGTTTTTTTCTGACATTTTTCAAAAAAAAGCATACTTGGATAATTGATGCAAAAACAACATTATCAATTGGCTATTTTAAATCAGCAGATTCGCTCAAAAAATCCTAAAAATTGGGTCGATTTTTTTTTCAAAGTTGAAGGAGACCAATTTATTTATTGGTCTGCTGATAGTTTAACCAATCTCTTTAGACTCTAAGTCATAAAACAATTTAAATATATTTAGGTTGATGGTTTTTTCCGCGGAAGCTATAAATACATATTAAAAGTAACTGAAGTTTACCTGTACTCTGTTAAGCTTACGACTGATTTTTTTTCAGGCGGGACCTCCCTTCTTGGAATTTTCCTTGTCTGCTCGATTCTCCTGATAGGACTGTCTCTAACCATGCAAATATTCTCCCTCTCCTGCTACCACGGGTCAAAGAACAAACGCGCTTCCAAGTTCACAAGGTTCTTTCTTTATAAGGTCAACAGACTACTCGGTCCTAAATTATACCCGATTACGCAACAGACACGTGACCCATATGTGAACATGTACCGAATGGAAAGTTCCCCGACTCACAAAAACGTCGGCAGAACTTACTCGTCCGAGTACTACGGAAACTACAATCTCGGCGGCAATGAAGTCCACCCGGCAAGTACTGAGTTAGAGCCGAGAGCTAAGCTGGGACAATTTTCCGAGAAGATTTTGTACGAAAGTAATGAGAGTTCGTTTATTAAGAACAGCTCAGAGTATACGAACGGGAAACTACTCAACGCAAACTCAAATAATGCATACTCGATTGACGACCGAACGAATTCCGGTACGACGTTTAAAAACCGAACAAATTCCATGCAAATACCGTCGATTCTCGAGGACCGAGTGGTAAATGAAGGTGGAAACGCAGATTTCTTATTCGAGACGGCCCAAAATCAGAACGAAGTTTCGGCTTTTGGTCAGAATATATCGGACTGGGGAGGCGATCTGATTAATAACGAAGCTTTTATAATTGACGAGTGGAAATTCCTGGCAGAAACGCTCAACCGCATGAACGCTTTCTTCTTCATCATGCTTCTGAGCACAATTTGCGGAGGCTACTTCTACTTTGGAACCTAAAATTGCATATAGAAAGAATAGCTTTCTTCTATATTTTCAAAATTGGATGATTTTTATAGTTTACTGGATGAAACCTTGAATTGAAATCTTTACATTGCCTGTTTAAAAGCCAGTCTAGTTTGAGGTGAACCTAATTTCAAGAGAAATTCACAGCGACAAAAATAACCGTTTTTGATAGCGAATCATGAAGTTGCCTATCTAGAGTTTAATGAGGTAAATGCTGGCGAAATGCCAAAGGTTGGACGCATGTCTTGAGAGTTTGTTACCCCACCAAAAAAGATATTCTTTTTCTTGCCATGCTAACATGGGTCGGGCCATATCCGGTTGCCGGCCGAAATTGCATAGTCGGACCGAGAGTTGAGTCTCGAAAGTCTGGACAAAAAGCCGAGACAATTGCGCCATTGGTGTCGCGAAAGTCTACACATACAAAAATTTGGTCGCGCAAGTAAGGACATGCAGTCGCCAAAGTCTGGAAAGTCGCGAGAGTCTGGTGCTACAGTCAAAAAAGTGTGCACATAAAGTCGCGAAAGTCTGGAAAATTGCACATCCAGACATTTGCGTCAACGTCTCTAGACTTATGACTATGTGTACTTCTCTCGCGATGCTATATCTAGACTATCGTGACTACTTTTTGGTCTGTTCAGGCATTCACGACCTAGTTTTGGTATGTTCAGACTGACTTTCACGATCCATGCCCGACTATGCAATTTGGATCCGGATATTTGTTTTTTTTTTGTTTTTTTTTTGTTTTTACTTGTTTTTTTTTTGCGGCGCATTTTACAAACTGGACGTAACTCTGGTAAATAGACATGGATGTCATCCATTTTTAATATTCCAACTTTTAAATTAGCCACAAAGATTAAGTTGCAACCAATTTGATCGGCATAAAAAGTCTTCCCAGTTTTATTTGACAGCCCTCATTTTTCATCTACACCAATCCCCTTTCCCTATATCGGCCACACAAACTTGAATTTGACTGTTTTTGACTTAACCTGTAAAAATAAATATAAAGTGTGCAGGTTTTTTGAATAAATTTTTCCAACCCAAAAAAATATGAAGTAAGTTTTTGTAGAAAAGTAAGCATCTGCGGGGAAAGTATTGGGACCAAACAGTTCTCCTCAAGTAAAGTTAGAAAATTCTCTGGATGACGGTATAACTGATCAAAAAAAATTGCTGCATGAGAGAAACAATGATAAGAATACAAACAAGTTTAATTGAAAAAATCAAAAAAAATACCAGTCATTTAACAAGTCACGGAAATCAAACAAAAAATAATAAATGTTTCAAAAAAATGTTGTTGATGACAATTTTATCTGTTTCTTGATAATAATGAGAGATTTTACTCAATTTCCGTTATAATAATTGATACAAGAAAAGAATGGTCATTAATTGCTTTTTTAAATCATTCATAAGGTGAAAATGTGAAATTATCTACCTTTTCAAAATAAAAAAGACAAGATATAAAAAACCTATAAGCAAATTTCAATTACCATGAAAAGGTTAACATCTAGCCTATCTGCAACAGTCACTTTCAAACACTTGTAAATATAAGAAACAATAAAAACAAGATTTTGATTAAAGCAAAAAAATACATTTCCTGTCAGTGAAAAGGAAGCCAGGGTATAATCTAGTATCGGAAAAGAACTACTAGACACCAAAAGGCCACTAAAATTTTGAGAAATTTAGATTTCAACCACAAAAAAAATGAATGACGAAATGCGTTTTTCAACAGCAGTCGTAGTTCGGGTGATGTTTTAGTGGTTCGATGAGGCGGGAGCAAGCGTGACTTCGCGGTTCAAGGATCTCATATTGACTTTTGCTGAAATAGAGAGAGAGAGCTCGTCAGTTTTTTTCTGGATCGTTCAAGCGCTTGTTACAAAGTTACTGATTTTCGTTATCATTTATGTTAAACGGTAAATTAAAACTTTCATTTTTGACAAAATACAGGGCAAGGAGTATTGTCAGTGCCGAAGCAAAATCGTGATCAACCTCTTATGAAATTTTGAGGCCTAAATCTGATAATTTTCTAAATCTGCATTTGGACCTAATAAGAATCAAACTTTTTACTGAATTAGAATCAATTTTTTGCTAAATTATTCAGAAATCAAAAAACATGAGCATGAACGAATTGGCAAAAACTAAGCGCTGATAAATCTGAGCAAAATTACACGAGTTTATATAAACACTATAGTATTTTTTCGTTTGGCAAAACTACAACAAAGTAGACACCCGCAATCAATAAAAAGGAAGAGTAATCGATTATATTATAACTATAATCGTACTTTTTAGCAAAATTATAATTAATTATAAGCGCCAATTTTAGATGTTTAAGCGATTCATATTCCATTATAATGAAAACATTTTGGTGACAATTTAATAAATTATAATCAATTATAATTGATTATAAGTTTTCCGAAAATCATTATAATCTCTTATAATCTATTATAATCTATAATTTAGGACTAAAATTTAGGTCGACCACATTAATTTTCCGAGCTCTCCTAAGAACTTAAAAGACCAAGTTTTGGCCAAATTTTGGCAAACTTGAAGAAACAGGCCAAAAACGGCTTTTTTAAAGCATTTTTTGGAAAAACTTCGCCAAAAGTCGCGCTACTCCTCAAAATTAGCTTTTATTGGCGCCAAAGGCTAAAGGGTCCGTCAACAAATATGGATATCTCAAAACAGTACAACGACGGAACCCTTTAGGTAGGCAGGGGGTCGAATCCTTGAAAAAAAGACGTCTGAAACCCCCCGACCCCCTTAAATCCGTCCTTGCAGTAAACAGTAAGAAAGTAAACAGTAAACAGTAAGAAAAGAAACCAACTGAAAAGCACACAAAACAAAACAAATATAAAAAGAAATGAAGCAACGTTTTTTGAATAAAAATGGATTGTAATCGATTTAAATGGATTATAATTTAAAAAATTTTCAGAAATGATATTTTTTTTCAAAAAAAATCGATTATAATGAGTTTTTTGTTTCGAAAAATAGTAACACCAGAATCTATTTTTAATCTATTATAATCTTATAAATTTATGGAAACTGACAATAAAAATCCATAAGAATCTATTATTTTCTCTTTTTACTGAGTGCGGGTAGTGATACACTTTCTAATGCTGTTTTTAAAAATTTGTCTGCGGCGGAAACATTTTGTGGCAAAATGGGGTCCTCATAGTATTTCTCGAATGCTCCGAAAATCAAATTTCTCGACCTAGGAAAAGTCCACAAAATTTCAAAAAACACCGCCCCCTCCTTTGAAAAGTTTCTGCGCACGCCACTGATGAGGATCTAAGTTGAATCTCTAGCTACCAACGAATTGATTTAAGCCCAAAAACTTCAACTGGTTTCATTGTTTACGATAATTTTTTGGCGCTAAAAAGGCTTCTCTGACGCCTTCTAACTGAATGGTCGAGCGACGACTTATAAAAAACTTTACAGTTTCTTAAGCGTTTATTTTCTAATAAACAGTTTCATTTATCTATAACAAATTATCAACTGTGAATATTTGGTAGCTGTAGAAAAAACGACAGAAACGTGAAAAAATTTTAGTTCATTCATTGCTAAAAAAACTGTTATTTGAAATTTCCATGTCCCGTGACTGTACCCTCTAAAACTCTAAAATTATTTAAAACGTAATGATACAATTCGGCTTATCGAAGGATTTTTTTAGAGCTGAGATTTGCAATTATGCTTTAAATTTTGCAATTCAAGCCGTCTTATGTTATTCGGTAGAAAAACTTCGAGGTCACTGTTCAGTTTTGGGTTGTAAAACTGGCCGAGGAAGTTGTGAGGATCGGTCACAAAAAATGCTTCGCTTAAACCTTGCATAAAACCAAATAACTCACAAAACTGACGCGACTCGGCTGTTTCGTCATGTTTTCCATACTTTTGAAATGCCGCGTTCAAAGTGACACCCTGGGCGTCCTTGAGTTTTGCCAGCCCAAAATAATAGAGCAAATTGGAAGTTTCGGTCGCTCTTTTTACCATGAGTTCTGCAATCCAAATTGCGGAATTAAATCACTGTATTCATATTAAATAGTTCGCTGACTCGATTTGTTAATAATTTCGGAAATAGTTAACATAGAATTTATGCTAAGATTTAGATTTAAACTTGCCATTAATTTTCAAGATTTCTTGAGTAACTTGTGCTCAAGAATTGGTAATTTTTTATGTTCTTGCTTAATATGGTGCCAGAAACGATGACCAATTTGGAAAAAACTTGTGCGTTTTTTGTGGAAACTGGTAATGAAACCTTTGTTTTCTAAAACATTTTTTGCTATCATCAGAATGTCTAGTGTGACACCTCCTCGAGTGGTGTAGTCCTTTGCGGTGGGGTTCGCAGTAATCGGATCTACCCCGGTGTATCGTGGGGATTTGGTCTGAGCTTTTGGGCTGTCGGACAGGTATTTGTACTTCCTATTACCTGCGCGATGTATTGGACCACGTGCTTCCAATATGTCACCGACGGTTAATCAAACGAGGCCAATTCTGCAAACGTCACACGCCGCATTGCCCAGTGCTCAAAGACGTAAGTGCGAACCTTGGGAAGCCTTGCTTCGGCAAATGCAAGCCTTGGGGGTCACTCGACATTTCTGTGTTGCGCATGACCCGGCTGGATCCGGCCTTGAAAGCCACCAGACCAAGTACCATTAGTTGTCTCGCATGTCTACGGATAGAGTCGACTTTTGGTGCAACTTTCTGTGTTAGTGGAGACCAGAAACGGGTTACTGTGTTCTACAGATCGCCCGATGTTGAGAAAGCTATTTGTGGTAAATGGGTTTTCCCGAAACTGCCATGACTGGTAACCACCACAATGCTTTTAGCACTGTGGATCCTATGATGTAATCTTAGGAAGGGTTCATACCCGGTTATTTTAAAAAGCTCGAATTCGTAGGGTGGGTAGCTAGGCAACTTGCTTCCCTCTAAGAATAGTGCATCTTGGTGAAACTAACTCTCAGTGATGGTCATTTATGACTATGAGAATACTGAGGACCTATTGAAATGGCTTTCGTAGGCTGCAAGTTTTAATTTTACCCCAGAAAGCGGTTTCTATCGATTTTCATATCAAAGAGTAACATCAGGTAGAGTAGATGGATGTTTGTCACGCATCTATCATCGGCCGGAAAGTTTCGTGCAGATTCTTAAGTCAATTACAATTTTAATCTTACTCTTTTTTTCTTAACTTTTAGCAGACTATGTAAAAAACCGGAAATCAATTGGTGTTAAAGATCAACTTTCTTTCAGATATTCTAAAAACGGTCTGACTATAAAATAATCTGGCTTACAATAAGTATTATAGGTTTCAAAAACGAAATATTGTTAAGCAACAAACACTTTCAAACTTTTTTTAAAGATATAAAACAAGAAGCGACAATAAAATTGAAATGGGCCGAAAGTTTGATTGCTTTCATTTTTTTGCAACAAAAACTGAACGTTTTTGAATCCTTGAAAAAAATGCATGTCCAAGAGTTTTTTAATGTTTACTTATAGTATAAAAATCAGTTTGCATTGTTCTATATCATTGTTCACAATCTGATGTGCCAATTATTTTATTAATTGCGGAGCGATGGAGAAGTGGTTACGTCTCCACCTCTCAATCGAAAGGTCGGATGTTCGAGTCCCGCCATGGTTTGTGCGCCTTGCTTGCCTGTGAGGCAACATTATCCAGCCCAGAAAACTAACACAAAAAAATTTCATGTAGTTCTTAAGCTGTACAGCTCGTATGTTGGTCCTTTCACTCGGAATAAATGGTCTTAATTAATTGAAACATCATCTCTTGACTGGAGAAGAACCCAGTCATATTTTTCTGATGTAAAGAAAATTAGCAAAATAAGTGCATCGCAGAGAGGGTCTCCACAACTAAGTTCTTAATTATATCTAAAAAATTGAAAATTGTTATTAAGAAGCAATTTAAAAGTCGCAAAATTATAAAATGAAAACGGTTGTTTATACATCAAAACAGCAACTTACAAAATCAAAATAATCATTCATTTTTACGAATATTGTATTGAAAATTTAAGATAACATTTTTCAGGCATTAGCTTCAGCGTTTTTTTCTCCATTTTTCACATTTCGAATGAAAATTTTGTTGCGCTTGTAAGCAAATACAAAATGTACAAACGAAACAACCTATTCAGGAGTTACAAAAATATGAAACAGACCATGTTAATCAAAAAGAGCAGATAACCTATTTCAGAAAAATTTTGCACTAAAAATTCAATTTTCCTGACAGAAAATATGTCTTTCATAGTTTACTTAAGGAATAATATTGCATGCAAAAAAGCAGAAAATTTGCAGATTGCTCTTTTCAATGATTTCTGCCTGTTCCACTTTTTTCAACTTAGTATACTTGTTGAATGCTGTTCAAAAAGTGTTTCAGCTGTTCGCTGAAAGAATTCGAAAAAAACTGGTCATTGGAAAAATGTCTGCTTATGATTAGCCGCTAGTTTTATTGGTTATTCGTTACGCAATTATAATACAAAAGAATGCCTCAAAATATAACACAAAAAAATGCTTTTAGCATTTAGTTAAATGTATTTGGTTTTTTTGCGCGAAATAAGCAAGAAAACCTCTCAAATATGGAATCTTACAAGACCGAATTTGAAAAAAAAATCCATTTTTGTTATTCCGTTTATCAATTTTTAAGCAGCCCTTAAAACGAAAATAACTGAAGGTAAAATATCTTAATAAGTTGAGCCGATATTTTCAATGGTGTATAAATTTTTTGTTGTTGTCTTAAGCTTTATGTTGACCACGAAAATTTGTTGAATAAAAAACCGAACCAATTATAAACATTTCTCAATTTCTTCAAAAGCCGAAAAAAAATCACACAAAACAAAAAATCCGCTACAATTCCCAGAAAAGTTAATTAAGAACTGCATTTAGCATTCAGTAGAAAGTATTTGGTACGAAGTATTTGGCACGAAGTAAGAAGTTTCTTTGCAGAAAAAATTTTTTTGTTTCTATTTCATGCTAAAAGTCGAACCTTTCTTAGGAATTGCATTTTCTTCATAAAATTATATTTAGGAATGCTAATTTAGTTTGACCATATAATTATGGCATATTATATTTGACCAGTTTATGGCATATTGAAATGTTTTGGATCTAAGTAGTCCTGAAAATAACAAAACTGAAGACCTTAGGAGCCTCGTTTGTTACAAGTTACCCACTTTAAAACAACTAGTCTGGCTTGATACAATTTTGTTGCCTGATTTTTTGAGTGCATCATTAATTGCTGCTAAGTCGTTGTATCCTTCTCCTAAATAATACAAGACTTCAAACCCCACCAATGATTTTACACTGTAAAGAGTTGCAAAAATTCGGAAAGACAGAAACAATTAAAATGAGCAATTTGCCAATTTTGAGCAATTTGCCAATTTTGAGCAATTTTTGCATGCAAATTTGCATTTTTAGGCAACATAACATTGTGACATACTTTCTGAAAACTATGGTTAATGCCAAATTCTTGGCAATATCGATAACCTTGAAGACAAATCGGTCAAAATTTATTTCATTTTCGGATAATTAATTTTTTGAACATTTTGTTTTCGTGTGGAATTTTGTGATAAAAAGATTTCCGACAAAAAAATGAGCAGTTTTAGTTCAGATTCGTTCAGATTCGTTGACCACGAAGATATTGCAAAGAATTTGGCATTTCTTACATTATTTTTGTCTGTCCGAACTTTTTGCTGCTAATTATCAAATCATCCATAGCACAAACCAAAATCGTATCTGTTTTTTTAGCGAGGTAAAAATCTGATTGAATTGTTGAAAGTAGCCATACATCTTAAAACTTTTTTTTTTGTTTCAAGATTAGAAGCGAATGTCGGGTAAATGTGTCAAAACAGGCTTAAGATATCGAGCAATTTGAGTCGTGGAATTTACCGGTCTTAAATATTTTACTCATACTCTCTTACTGGTAGATGCGTGCTTAATTGACTGGACTCAAATATTATTTCCTTAAACATTTTACAAAACTTTATTACTCGTAACACTTCAAAATTGTTCGCATTACTTTCGCCTATTTTGCCAAAGTTGTTCGCATTACTTTCGCCAATTTTGCCATCTGAAGCCCCAAACTTACTTTTTTTGTCGAAAATATGCCGAAAAAGTACCACGTAACACCAGTTTTCTTATTTTTTATACTGGCGATAGGTTACTATGTGCTAAGGGTAACACTAAAAACCCGCAACTTTCCTAGTGTCGAAAACTTTGTTTCAAACTTTCAAAATGAGAATAAAATTTCTCAGCTCAAAAGAAGTTCAGGCTACAGTGTGGCCAAAATGAAAAATCTCGAAGACTATTGTTTCAAATTAATGGAACCAAACGTCTCCGATATATTCACTCGAAGCGCAATAGATTTCGACACTCACCAGCTAAGTTACAATTTACCCTCTGGAAAATTTCCCGGTTGCAGAAGGTACAAAAGTGAGAGACTGGATCCCCTAATTGACGCGCCAATTAATGAAGTTGAGAGGAGTTTTCCAGTGGCTTTTGGAATTCTGGTTTACAAGAACTTCGAACAGACGGAACAGCTTTTCAGAGCTATTTATAGGCCGCAGAATTTCTACTGTTTCCACATTGACAAGACAGCCAATTCTACCTTCAGAAACATCGTAAGTTCACGCTCTGACTTTTTGTTCCGACTATCGATACGAAAGTAACGGAATATTTGTGCTCGGTGTGGGTTTTTTTTCCTTCAGACAAATTTTGACTTTTTTACTAGCCACTTTTGACGGAATTTTTTTATACCAATCAAAAGCTACTGTTGTCCTGAGCTTAAATTTGAAAAGATATTTCACCTGTGATCATTTTTCGTAAAGTTATGGGGGTTTAAAGATTGCCATTTTGGCCAATTTGGGACAAATAACGCGCGATATAATTCGCGCTATTAACGCGTAAGCGGAGATTTAATCCGTATTAGAAATCGTTCCAAATTGATTCAAGAAAGCTTATATGTCATAATTGATTTGTTAATAGGAGCAAAACCTATCACTTAGTACTTAATATGGCGTGTGGGGGGATGTTTTAACAAAAAAATATATTTTATTACATTTAAACTTTTCATGTTCTTGCTGCTCCATAAGCCTTAAAAGACAGTCGGAACATTCTTTTTGAATCCTTGGTGACTCTCATTCTTACAATTGTTTAAAAAATATTGAATGGAATAATTCAAGACAATTTGGCTTTCATCATGTCATCGCGATTTTTTATTGGACTGAGCTATCATACTTGAATACAAATTTGGTCACATCAAGCTCATCTGAGATCCATTTAGATGCGCAAACTGATCTCCTGCTTCCCGAATGTGATCGAGGCCTCCTCGCCCCTGGATGTTGTTTGGGGTGAGCACAGTGTGCTGTTGGCTGAACTGCGGTGCATGGCAGACCTGCTTGGACTGAGTGGTGCCTGGAAGTACTATATCAATCTGACGGGGGAGGAGTTCCCTCTAGTCACCAATCTGGAGTTGGTGTCTGTGCTGAGGGAACTGAAAGGAGCTAATATCATAGACGGTAGGTTATTTGAGTAACAGTGAGTTGATACACTATAAAATGATCTTAGCAAACAATTAATTGATCAGTGAAAAATCATGATGTTAACAGCATATTAACGCAAGGATTAAAATTATAATTCCATCAAAATACAACAGAACAAGACTGCTCGTATCATGACGAGCAGTCTTGTTCTGCCTTTTAAGGTCTATGGAGCAGTAATCAAATTAAATGTAATAAAAAGCCACCCCGAGCAGAAGTATTCAGTTACTTTCGTTACGAAAGTCAGAACAAAAAACAGAAAAAAATCAAGACTGCTTGTATATCTGAATGTTCTGACTTTTCTAATAGGTACCAATTTTTTTTTGATATAGAAAAAACATTGTACATCAAACATCAAGTCATACCAAACATCAAGTCGTATTTGAATCTTTCGATGATATTATGAGCAATTGGCTTTCCTCAATTCAATTTTGTTTGCTTTATACCTTCCGAATAAAATGAATAAAATCTTCTAAACGGGCCATTACGAGGCCAAACTGTGCATTGTGTCAAGCTAACAATTCGGGGTAGGCTAACAAGTCTATAGGTCTCTGGAATCCAAAGACAACCCTTTAAGCATGTTAAAATTTTGTCGGAATGATCAAACAAAAAGAAAAAAAAAGTCCACCTAAAATTCAAAATTGGAATCCGCTTACAATGGACAAAATACACAGCTTGGCCGCGTAATGGATTAAATTGGTTCAAAGCATGGCCAAATTGGCAACTTTTAAGCAGCTCTCAAAACGATAATAACTGAAGGTAAAATATCTTAATAAATTGAGCCGATATCTTCAATGGTGTTCAAAAAATCTTTGATGGTCAACATAAAACTTTATGTTGACCACCGAAATTTGTCGGAAACAAACTCACCCAAAACATACAAAAACCGCACCTTTTCAGACTTTGGAACCAGAAACTACTCATGAATATTTTGCACTTTCTTTGGAAGTTGGAACAGAAAACCACATCAAGCATCAATATTTGAATTTTTTTGTAAGTCAAAACAGAAAAAATGACATCATAAGAGTTAATTGTATATTTGTAGTTTTTTTCCTGTAGCACAATTTCTTGAATTCCCAATCCAAAGCCCTAAATTGCGTTTCAGCAGCCTTTTAATTGATGAATTTAACGAAAAAAGAATCATTTTTTTTGAAAATTTTGTCGGAATGATCAAACAAAAAGAAAAAAAAAGTCCACCTAAAATTGGTTTTTTGAAAATCTTGGTTTTTTGAAAATCCCCGAGCACAAATATTCCGTATCGAAAGTCGGAACAATAACAAAAAAGTTTAACCTTTTCTCATACAGCAAAGGTTTGAAACGACCAAGTAGCATGCCTCGATATTCAATTTGGAATGACTTTTATTACGCGTTTGATCTCCTTTTACGCGTTTCTAAAACGCTATTAATTTGTTTTAAGAAAATTTAGTAGCTTTTTTAAAGAAAAATAGGGTCAAGAGAACAAAAACATTTGGCTGACAAAAAAGCATAAACTTTCCTATCTTTCCTAGCAAAAACCCCAAAAAATCACTCCCAACATATATATTCCACTTCTTTTTTGAAAGCCGAACAGATACCACGCCAATTATTATAAGTTTTCGTCAGTTTCTCTTAACGTCCGAACAAAAACAGCGCCAAGCAGAAACAGTCCGCTTTTTTTCCGACAGTCCGAACAAAAATGTAAAAAATAGGTAAGTCACAATAGGTAAGTGCAAACTTATAGAGTTTTCGAATATCAGTTTCCCAATTTTCCTAATCGAAAAAATGATTAGTATGAGCAAAGTACTAAATAAATCAAGTGTTAAGCCTCAATTCAATTTGGAAAAAAAAATCAATGACGGATGAAGTCTCCGCTTTTGCGTTAATAGTAAAAAATATATCGCGCGTTAGTTATCATGACTCGGCTAAATTTGAAATCTTAGGAAAAATTATCACAGGTAAGATATCTCTTTTAGTTTGCGCTCAAAACAACTCTATTTCGGGCGAGATTTATTATCAAAATGAGAAAAATACTATCAAAATAGGCAGCTGAAAAAGCATAGAGAAAAAAATCATTAGAAAAAAAATCATAATTATTCCTGCGAGCAATTTCCCATTTCACGCAGGAATAATTATGAGAAGTATTCCATTTTTGCACCAAAAAACAACTAAATTTTAATTTTAGGAGGCTTTAAAGATGTCATGGAAGACAGACTTCCGACAACGATGCCATTTAACCTGAAAAAATACAAAGGCTCAACGCATGTTTTCCTCAACCGAAAGGCAGTCGACTTCATGATAAACGACCGCAACATTTCCGAGACGCTCCTTAACAACCTGGCTCCCCTCAGGTCAACATGTGAAGCCTATTTTGCTGTCTTGCAATTTAACCCTGAAGTCAACTTACCCGGAGGCATGACCGAACGACCCGAAAGTAGACTCTACAAGGTTCCGAGTGTTCCGAGGCACAAAGAGTGGTCGATTACCGAGGCAGGGGAGTTTCCATGTATAAGTGGGTTTATCAAGAGACAGATCTGCATGTTGGGAGTGAAACATCTTCCAATTCTGACCAGGAAGTCATACGGGGCCAGGTTGGTGGCCAATAAGTTTCCATGGACTTTCCAGCCTTTGGCTTACGATTGCATGCAAGTCTGGCATCATAGCAAGGTCGAGCAGGAGTACAAAACGGGAAAAATAGCGATGAATATCTCGAAAATTGTGAACAGTTCGTATATGAAATACACAAGACCGGTGGAGGGGTATTAGAACAAACGGAGTTATTCGCCAATGTTTTTAGTGACTCTAACGAAAAACAGAATCTTATTAACTTAAATGAAAGAAGGAAGTATCATTCTATCTTTCTACATGTGAACTTGTAGCTACCTTTCAATTAAAGCTTCTGAAGTTATCTTTTAACCTGCATGCTAGAACTGTGGAATGATTCTTTTTTCTATAAAACTGCTTCAGACTTTAAGAGACTTCATTTGGTTTTTCAACTGCCGTGCAACAATGGATGAGTTTCAATGATTAAATGCGAAATTACTCTTCTTGGAATTTCTGCTTTGCTCTAATACGACCATGAGCCTCATAGGAGTTACTGAATTTTCATAAGATATTTTTGTCCCGAAAGAAATGGTTAAAATTGAATGTTATACTGACAGGTTTCTTCAAATTAAGAGTCGGAAAGGCAAAAGTGAGAAAGCTGAACAGCTGCCTTAAAATAGGACAAAAGTGTTTGATGCATAAGCTACCATTAAGTAAGTTTAACAAAACGGGGAGGGTTCTCATGCTTGAAGGACCGAATGCTTGAAAAGTTTCAACCAATCAAAATCGCTCAGCGTTTTCATTGGCTAAATGCTTTTCTCACAAAATCGAACTCAATATTAACAGAAAATGTATTAAATCAGTGGAAAATAATCAAAAATATTACAAATTGCGGGTTACAACCGCAATACGATTCAGATAATCATCAAGATTAATGCGGTCAAAATCTTAAGAATTTTTCAGTCTTGAAAACTCATCTGCTTATTATCTAATCGTTCAATATTAAAACTAATGGCCTGGATTTATTTTCTTACTTCGAGATTTTTGCGATTTACTTTGAGATTTTGAATACTCGATTCTGATTGACTGAAAGAGCGCTAAAATTAATTTCAAGCATTCGGTCCGTCAAGCATGAGGAACGCCACCTAACAAAACTAATGACAGTAGAGCTGAGCAGCTGCAAAAAGAAGATAGTGGAAGCAGATCTAAACTAGAATTTATTATTGGATATTATTCTGATATTTTATCTCTATAAAATATTGAATACTAACCAATCATACTCCATAAAACTAACAACCCACTTAGCAATTTGAATTAAGCTTAGAATACAGTTGTTCTCATTCTAGAACTAACTCGCATAAACCGGTGTACACAAAATCTATTGAGACTAGGAGATATAAGAGTAAGATTAAGATTGTTATTAGACTAAGAAAATGCACGAATCTATCCGGTCGAAAAAAAGAAAGCGTGACGAGCAGACGGTGTACCTCATCTGAAATTAATCTATGAGTATGATACATAATACATAACTCATCTGGTGCGACGAAAAGTCTCGAACAGACCTTAACTAACCTAGATTTAGAAAAAATAGATTAGAATTAGACAAATACAACCTTTTAAAAATGTTACTGACAACAACTTAGTAGAAATGTCTCTACGACTCAATAGATCAGATCCATTATTCCGAACAATACGAAAACTACCCGGTATTCGAAGAAGACCTCGAACAAGAGACAACGTACGACTAGGAAGAAATCTACCAATCGATTTCATGATTGTACGACGAAAACCAGATCAAACTTTTATATTTAAAAAACTTCCAGCAGTAAATTTAAATTTTCATTTACTGACATAAAATTTTGAAGAAACATCTTCAATAACCTTTCATGGCGCTAAACTTCATAATTGTACAATATAGACCGATAAAAAACAACAATAGTCGTTCTCCTTAAATCAGCTGTAAATTAAAAAACATCTTCAAAAAAAATATTAATAATCATAAAAATACAAAAATTAGTTAGTATAAAGCATAAACTATTAGTATATATAAATCATCCCTTCATCCCAGCTTCATCACTTAAAACATAACAGCAAATCTCAAAAACGAACAATCATCAAAACTAAAAACTTAACCTTTTTAACTTTTCCTTTTATCGATAAACTATCAAAGCTTATCCTTGTTTTCGCTTAAAACAATTTCATTTAAAATAACAGATCAACAAGGTTTTCCTTGATTCTTTAAATTAATTTAAACTAAATCTAAATTTCTGATCATCAAGGCTTTCCTTGGATCTTTAAATTGAATTAAACTAAATCTAAATTTCTGATCATCAAGGCTTATTCTTGGATCAAATAGAACAATTTTGTTCTCCCCCTCCTATATTAATTAGTGTCTAACGACCTCAAACGTCAATTCACAACCTAACCCTCATTAAAGACCCAGAAAAAACCAAAAATTTTCAAATAGCTAACAATTCTAAATAGGATAAACAGTGAAGATTCGGTTACTCATCCTTCATTGATTCCCTTCCTCTTAAATGACCCAGGCTAAAACACTTAAACTTAGTAAGTCATAAAATAATATCTAACGGAGTCCTTGCGTTCTAATTCTACCTGAACCTTGTGGTTCGATTTACTATTCTCCATTCCTTGATCAATAATCATAACCCCTAAGTAAGATTAGGTAAGTTACTATTCCCGAGAAAGAAATAATCAGTCTCACGAATCGATATATGCTTTTCTCTCCAACCCGACAAATATGCTCCAAATTAAGCTAACCACAAAAAAATGTAAGAACTAATAGCCAAAGACAATCGAAATCACTAACGCCGAAATTGCATACATCATCAGAAACCTTATGTCAAGAGACAATGTAGGAAACAAATAAACAATTATATTACACAACTGTTTAGTTAACGACGAAAGATACGACCTCGTAAACACACCGCACAGACAAACAATAGGATAGATAAGAACAGAAAGACAAACACTAAGAAAGAAAATTATTAGCAAACAGAAAAAAAATTATTAGGAAACAATTTTCATAACGAAGAAACGCAGTCTTAGAATCAGAAACAAGCGCAATACAAGAACTCCGCAATTTAAAAAAATCAAAAAATAAACCAGCAAATTGACGATCAAATACTTTTTTCTGACTCAGAAACAACGTCACCAGCATCAATAAAAGGAAAACTTAGAATAAAAAATTGTTAAAAAAAAAACAAACCAATACATCTGTACAATTGGAATCAACGAATAAGACACATTGAAAATTACACGCTAACAGTGATACAACACAAAAAAAATTCGAATTGAAGAAAATCTAGATGATTCAACGGTCCCATTTTAATACATCTACAAGCTGAAGCACGAAGACAGGTACAATTTTGCCAAAATGTAATCATGAAATTATTCGAAAAAGGAGATAGTCCATGCACAAAAAAATAGTCCATGCACAAAGGAGATAGTCCATGCACCCGATGCAAAATAAAAAGACAACTTCTTGACCTCTCTCTTAAAGACATATGTAGTCTCACATCACAATCTGGAGTCTACACAATAGAAATTAGTTCACCAAACGCATTTCATGACAAATATCTTATCAAACAGATGACGTAGATACTGAATTTTCAAAAGTTTTTACAGAATACATAAAAAATATACAACATCAAAACTCACAAAGAGCTAATTCAATATTCACAAACAATGTATTTTCACTTATCTAAATTAGAAATGAAAGAACCTCAAGGCGATTCACCACCTCAAACATCCCGACATACAACCGTACGACAAAAATTAAAAAAATATTTTCAAAATTTTCAAAAGCAACCCGTGAAAATCTAACTAGCAATGACATAACACAACATGTTAAACAACACGATTTACAAAAAGACCTAACATGGTTCATTATCGATTATTTTGTTCATAATATTGAACTTATAGCACTAGCAAGAAAAAATTTTGACCAAAAAATACAGTTGACGAAACCTTATTAGCAGAACAAACAGATTACGTTTGGGATCCTGAATGGTCTCATGAATTATTTATTAATATACCAACAGATATACCAAGCCTAGCAGTTAGCACAATCTCTATTCACAAAGATTATGTTAAAGTATACCCACTTACAATTGACGCAACACATTTAAACTATAATTCATTCTTCCCTGAAACAGCAGGAAATAATATTTTAAACTGTACTTTTATAAATCGAGCTCGTCATGCTACAAAATCCCAAGGCAGTGGTCAAGTTTACATCCGTCACCCCATGACAGTCCGCGACCAACTCCACGCCACTCTTATCCGACATGCTCAATCTTCCGTACAATCGTGCCAGTTGTCGATGCTGCTCGCTCAGCGTAATCGGGCAGTGTCCCAAGTTGCAAACATATCCTTCCATCCCACTATATTGAGCTAAACACGTGCCGTGCCTCAACCAATTGCTCGATGGACTTTCCTCGGATGGCTCCGTGGATGGGTTGCTCTTCCCCTTTGTCATCCTCATGGCCAGCAGATGGTGTATCATGGCCAGATCATGTAGACTCGCGTCATCATCCAGGTCTAACAAGATATCCGCCGTCATGTCCCAGATTAAACCGGCGTTAGAATGGGGACAACAAGAACGCTTCATGAGTTCCCACATGGTTACTAGGCTGGTTTTCAGGGGACCGTCCCAAGAACCACAATCAAAACCCACTTGCCCCTTCAGCTCGGGAACCGAGGGTTTGACCACTCGTTCTTCTAATATAATTCACAGCTTGGGTTGTTCCACCATCAGCATTCCAGTTTCCTTAATCCGTTCGACGCAGAAATTGAGCACTATGACTTGCTCATAGTCGAAGAACGCTTCCCTGGCTTCTTCATTCACGAAAAGATTATACGCCATCCCCGGTATGCCAGACACATATTGGAACGACTTCAATTTCCCTAGTTACGACGTTACAACAAACAATTATACAATACACGGTAAAAACCCGCTGTTGCTCAAAAATATTCACAAATGGATTACCAAACGTTTCAACCAGTAACAAAACCATCATATAAACAAAATTCATCACATAGGAATAACTTCGCAAAACATAATAATAATTATTTAAATAAATCAAAAACAATTAAACCATCTAATATGAATACTTAGAACTACTCATATTCACAAAATCAAAATATACCGCAACTAACTTCAAACTCAATACATTCAATGATCAACCACGATCTTCACAAGACCAAAATGGAAATTACCCATTTTTTCATCAAAATAGAAATCATACAAATTGATACCATACTAGAAATCAACCTCCTTATTATACAACTATTTTTTTTCCATCAGATGATGAAGAATATTATAATCAAAATCATCAAAGATTTCATTCAAGCCAAAGACCTCGTTCTAACCGTATTGATCAACCAGATATTTTCAAACCATACACACGAGATGAAAAAATACGACAACCCAGAAAAAATCTAACATCATACAATATTATTTCTCATTCACAAAACCCAGTCAATACACAATCTTACCAACCAACTCAAAAGCATAATGAAATCCCACTGCCATATTATTTACAAAAACATGAATTA